CGGGAGTGGGAGTTAGGTGAGCGATTGTGAGCCCAGCCCACTCACATCACGTTTCGTGCACTTTCTGGCTTGCTTGGTCCCCCTGAACGAACGTGGGTTCGTGGTGCAAAGTGGATGTACTGAAGTAGCGTTCTGCACAGTGCTACGTCGGCAGCGCAGTGACAAAGTCGGAAAGTCGGTTTGGGTGCTTTGCGTATATGCAGTCCGACACTCCGATACAGCGAGTGCGACCCAAAGTGAATGTGCCAGCATTTACAGTGACAAATTCGCAGCGCGAATAGGTTTCGCTCGTCAGCTGTGCCCAAAACGAGAACAGCAAAACAGTATCTTGCAAAACTACAGCTTTCCACATGGCAGTAAACAGAATTGATTTTGCTGATTTACAAGCTACACATGTTAGTTGACAAATCTATTTGTGTAATCTGGAGCTTATGCATGTAGGTCAACAAATCAATGACAAATTAGCTCTGGAATAATGAGCTGAATATTAAGGAACGTGCGCATCTGCATGCGTATACGCATGAATACTCGCATGTCTGGTACCTACCTGTTTAACCTAGATGCGCGTAGACATACGTATGCATGCGTACGTATGCCTTCATGCACGTAGTGCGTCTACCTACCGTACACACTCGTACGCGACGCATATGTACATAACCGTACATGGGGGTTGTACATAACCGTACATTTCCATATGTTGGTTAGCATGGTGCTGTGGGTTAGCATGGTGCTGTGGGTTAGCATGGTGCTGTGGGTTAGCATGATGCTGCGGGTCCCAGAAAGGAATGTGTGGCTACAGGGGAGGAAGAACAGTAGGCAAAAGGAAAATTTTGGGCAACTGTAAAAGTGTTTCGAGTAAACTGTTGGTGAATTGGTATGATGTCGCACACTGCATGGCCAAGAAGGGTATTTCGTTGAATCAGTCCAGTTCATGTAAGTAAGCCTATGCAAGAGGGAGAGGAAATGGGCTGACCTGCTTTGTTGGCATGGTGGGGTTGCTGAGGTTACTACGGTGGGCGCGCTGACGTCATGGTCTGCTTGCCGACACTTTGGTACCGCGGAGAGGAGGAGGCCGATTCACGGGTTGCCCTGCTGAATTGCCCTGTCGGACGCTTCCCGGGTTCCTGTCAGGGCAGGGTAGAATAAAAACCTTTGGGCAGGTGTAAGATAAACCGGGGGAGATGGGGTTTGCGGAGGATAAGAGGGGATTTGCTGTGAAGCACTCCCTTTAGGCGGAAGGCCAGGTGCTTCTGGTGGAGGGGAGATTCCCCGTGAAGCACCGCCTCTCTTAATCCCGCTCAACCCCTTTCAACCACTTTCTATCCCATTACTCAGTGTCAAGCACCCACAACACTCCCATCAGGTGGTGATCACGAGCAGCGAGAGGGTTGGCCAGATGGTGTGGTGGTGGGGGAGGAGAGTGGGCCTTGAGGCATCACTTCTTTGGAATTCGCACATCCTACTTGAACCGCTTTCAACCACTCCCCATCAGGTGGTGATCACGAGCATGGAGGTGGGTGGCCGGCTGGTTGTGGTGGAAGGGGGGTCTTTCATAGACAATGCCTCTCTGAAACCCGCTGCACTGTTCTAAACCACTTTCAACCGCTTTTAACCACTCCCAACAGGTGGTGATCACAAGAATGGAGGTGGATGGGCGGTTGCTAGTGGTGGGGTGGAGTGGAGTGGCCCTTGAGGCAACACCCTTTTTAAATCCATTCAACCATTTTTAACCGCTTTCAACCACTCCCGTCAGGTCGTAATCATGAGCATGGAGGTGGATGGGCAGCTGGTGGTGGTGGGGAGTGACGCCAGCAGCCCTGCTTCAGAGGAGGTGGGTAAGGGGAGGCGTCATGGGGACTGTTGGATTTTGTTATTGATGTGTGTCTTGAGGCGACTTAAAACACACCTGGACTGTACATGCTGCTGCTGCTGCTGGTGATGCGAGTGTCGCCGCCAGTAGCCCTGCTGCAGAGCAAGTGAGTGAGAGGCATGGGGAGCTGGTGGTTGGTGAGAGGAAGTGAGGAAGTGAGAGGAAGTGAGTGAGAGGAAGTGAGAGGGAGTGAGTGAGAGGAAGTGAGAGGAAGCGAGTGAGAGGAATTGAGAGGAAGTGAGTGAGAGGAGGTGAGAGGAAGTCAGTGAGAGGAAGTGAGAGGAAGTGAGATGAAGTGAGTGAGAGGAAGTGAGTGAGAGGAGGTGCGTGAGAGTAAGTGAGTGAGAGGAGGTGAGTCAGAGTAAGTGAGTGAGAGGAGGTGAGTGAGAGTAAGTGAGTGAGAGGAGGTGAGTGAGAGGAAGTGAGTGAGAGGAGGTGAGTGAGGAGGTGAGTGAGAGGAGGTGAGTGAGGATGAGGAGAGCTGGTCTGGTAATTGGGGTGTTTTTTGAGTCCACTCAGAGGGATGGCACCAGCAGCCCTGCTGTAGAGCAGGTGAGAGAGAGCGGATGGGGCAGAGCAGGTGAGAGAGAGCGGATGGGGCAGGTTTCACACAACAGGTCGGCACATGAGGCATCCATGCCGTATTGGTCAGTGTTAGTAGGTTAGCAATGAGCCCCTTGTCTTGACCTTGAAGAGAAGATATCTGTTTTGCTGCCACCCTTCTCTGGTCGCTTCACCCCCCTGCGCCGGTCAATTATCCTTCCTAGCTGCAGTGAACTTGTGCCTGTTTTCTTTTCTTCTTTCTCGCTCTCTCTAATTCTTTTCCTTTGTTATCTGTCACTCATTATCCCCTATGTTTGCACCTGCTCTTGCCACCCGTACATACAGTACCCTGGCTCCCACTCTCCAATTCTCACTCTCTTGTCGACATCTTTACAAACATATTTCAGGAGGGCTCTGGGTCACATTCGTTGCGGCGGTTCTGCATAGCTGTGCCCAAGATACCCGAGTACTTCACTGTATGGCACTCCTTCTCACACTCTCCTTGTGACACTCTCCTTCTCACTCCCCATCTGACTCTCCATCTCACAATCTACAGTACCATGTCGGTTCCAGGTGCATGATCACCTGTAGCTTCGAAACAGCACATCGCACATGGCTATGCAATTTCTCTTACACTTACCATGCCTCTTGTCATGCCATTTCACATGCCACCTCACATGCCATTGCACATCAGACATGGGCATTTTGACCTGACAGGTTGGGTCGTCGGGTCGGGTCCAGGACAGGCCGACCGGACCCGGTCAAGTCGACTTGGGACCCGTAGATTCATATGTCAATCGGGTCGGGTCAAACCGGCTCGTTGACGGGTCGCACTGGACCCGCCTATGATCACCCAATCTTCTACGCACCATCAGACCTGTTTGAGTCCTGGCGCGCACATCAGCAGCCGCGCTTCCCACTACCAGAGAGTAGTGCGCGCCACCCCATAGAGCAGCGCGCGTTACTCCCACCTGCATACAACGCTCGCTCCCATTATTGAAAATACTAAGCAGAGTGCGCCACGTCAGGCAGCAAAGTGCGCGCCACTCCCAACTGCCAACTCACATGCCCTTTCAAATGCCATACCTCATGCCGTTTTACATACCATGTAACACGCCTTACATATCCCATCCCCCATACCATCCCCCATGCCTTCCCCCATACCCATCCCCCATGCCATCCCACTTCAACGCCACACATGCAGGGAAAAGGGGATTTAGTGACAGCATTGCAGCTTGGATGGTCTCATGTAATCCGTTGCCGCATGGCAAGCATCTCATTGCGTCTCAGTCCTACATTCGAACCCACATGCCATCCCCCATGCCATCCCACATGCAGGGAACAGGAGATTTGATGACAGCATTGCTGCTTGGACGGTCACATGTGAGTGGGGCAGTTGCAGCGCGGTGCTGCATCTCACAGTGCTGGTTACATTTCACAGTGCTGGTTACATCTCACAGTGCTGGTTACATCTCACAGTGCTGGTTACATCTCACAGTGCTGGTTACATTTCACAGTGCTGGTTACATCTCACAGTGCTGGTTACATCTCACAGTGCTGGTTACATCTCACAGTGCTGGTTACATCTCACAGTGCTGGTTACATCTCACAGTGCTGGTTACATCTCACAGTGCTGGTTACATCTCACAGTGCTGGTTACATTTCACAGTGCTGGTTACATCTCACAGTGCTGGTTACATCTCACAGTGCTGGTTACATCTCACAGTGCTGGTTACATTTCACAGTGCTGGTTACATCTCACAGTGCTGGTTACATCTCACAGTGCTGGTTACATCTCACAGTGCTGGTTACATCTCACAGTGCTGGTTACATCTGACAGTGCTGGTTACATCTGACAGTGCTGGTTACATCTCACAGTGCAGTGCTGGTTACATCTGACAGTGCTGGTTACGTGCACAAGCGGTTGAAAGCGGTGTAGATGGTTTAGATGGATTGCAAGATGGTGAAAGTGCCTTGGTGAGCGGTGACAGTGTAGGGGTGCTGCAGGATAAGGGAGTTGATGCTCAGCTGACAACTGAGAGCTGAGTTGAATGTACTGTAAAAAGAGAACGCTCAACTGTTTTTGGCCGGGTGAGGCACTTTCCTGAGCACAATTAACACCAAGAAAAGGACCAGGCGGGAATAACCCACAAAGTGTTGCACATTTGTGTTTGAAAGAGAAGGTTATGCTACTGGTCCTGTGATTTAAGCAATTTGTTGTGTTCTATAGTATTTGACAACGACGTGATTTATGCTATTTGTTGTGTACTGAGCTCTCTTGTCAAGCATCATGGAGGACGCAGAGCCGCTGCGCGCGCTCTCCGCCCACATCGCGTAAAAACGGACCAGGCGGGTATCGCGATAGTTTCCCTCAGCTTTCCGCTCTATCGCCGCGTTCCTTCCGTCCCTAGTCCCTCCCCGCGCTGCGCGCGCTCTCCGTCCACAGCGCGTGACGCGGACCCTACTTGTCTCCCGGGTCTCTCGGGTGAGAGCCGAGTATCCTAACCGACTAGACTACAACGGATGTCACCAACCTTTGACACAAAAATAATGACCTATGTGTTTTTCTGCAATTCTGCCGCTCACGATGACGTTTTCCCATGCGGTTGTCATGACGTCGTCTCTCTCCGTCGCCCTGCACGGGGGCGGTCGCGTGCTCAGCATTCAGTCACATACCGTCCAGGTATCCGTTGCATGCAGTCGTACACTGCCCAGGTATCCTTCGCATTCTGTCGCAGACCGTGTTGGTCACCATCGCATTCACCTGCCCTCACGGTCCAGATAGCAAACGATACCGACGTCGTTACTCTACCCCGGCGTAGGCAATGCAAAGCAGCGTTTTTCCGTTACGTAGGGTAACCCTACGGTAGCCAAAGCAACCGCCGGTGGCCGAGAGTCCCTCTCAGGTGTCTCTCAGACGCCCCTCTCAAGTGACTCTCAGGTTACCCTCTCAGGTGTCTCTCAGGTGCCCATCTCAGGTGTCCATCTCGGGTGCCCCTTTCAGGTGCCCCACTCAGGTGTTTCTCAGGCGCCCATCTCAGGTGTCTCTCAGGCGCCCCTCTCAGGTATTTTCTCAGGGGGTCCCTCTCAGGCTTCTCTCAGCTGTCCCTTTCAGCTGCCCCTCTCAGGTGTCTCTCAGGTTCCCCTCTCAGGTGCCCATCCCAGGTGTCTCTCCAATGTCTCTCAGGTGCTTGCTTAGTACGACCATGCGAAGTCTGGTATGAAGCTCTGAGTGTCTCGGTCATGCATCAAGTGTATGAAGCATGGGCTCATGCGAACGCGTGTGTGATGGCGTGTGTCTGCATTGAGTGTATGAGTGTATGTATATACATGCATACATATATCTATCTATATACATATTTATATTTATACATCTATGTGTTTACACCCTGACACTTCGGTCACATATCTATATTGCTTCGTACCCGGTCCATGCGTCAGAACTATGTGGGTGGGCAGCAAGGTGGCCAGGTTCCCCCGGCAGCTGCTCCTGATGTTGAAGGGTGTTTTTGAGAATTCTCAAAACCTCCATGCGTCAGAGCTATGTGGGTGGGTAGCAATGTGGCCGTGTTCCCCCAGCCCGGCAGCTGCTCCTGCTGGGAAGCGGAGCAGGTGAGTGGTGCAGCAGAGCAGGTGAGTGGTGCAGCAGAGCAGGTGAGTGGTGTGGCAGAGCACGTGAGTGGTGCAGCAGAGCAGGTGAGTGGTGCAGCAGAGCAGGTGAGTGGTGCAGCAGAGCAGGGCACGGGGTGTGTGGGTGCTGGACTCGCTGCTGATAGCCTGGTGCTGGTGGTGGGGCGTGACGCCAGTAGCCCTGCTGTAGAGCACATGGGTGAGGTGACAGGGCATGGGGCGTGCCAGTGTGGTGGTCGAGGTGTGCTTTGAGTCGAATCACTCACATGTGCTTGGATATGCTGCTGCTGCTGATGCTGGTGCTGGTGCTGGTGGTGGGGAGTGACGCCAGCAGCCGTGCAGCAGGGGAAGTGAGTGAGGTGACAGGTCATGAGGGTGTTGGTCTGGTGTTGAGGTGTGGTTTGAGATGACTCCTGAACATGCTGCTTGTGCTGCTGGTGGGTAGTGACGCCAGTAGCCCTGCTGCAGAGGAGGTGTGTGAGAGGGCATGGGGGTGTTGGTCTAGTGCTTGATTTGATGTGTGGTGTGAGGATGGGGCAGGTTTCACACAACAGGTCGGCGCATGAGGCATGCCGTGTCGGTGAGTGTTAGTAGGTCAGCAATGGGCCTTGTTTTGACCTTGGAAAGCACGTCTCATCACTTCACCCCCCTGCCCTTGTCACTTCACCCCCCTGCCCTTGTCACTTCACCCCCCTGCCCTTGTCACTTCACCACCCTGTGCTGGTCACTTCACCCCCTGCCCTTGTCACTTCACCCCCCTGTGCTGGTCACTTATCCTGCCTACCTGTAGTGAACTTGTGCCACTTGTTCTTCTTCTCCCCCTCTTTGATTCAATTTCTCACTCTCCCTTCAGTTTCTGTCACTCATTATCCCCTACGTTTGCATCTAGCCCTGCCCACCCCTACATACACCACCCCTTACATACACTGCCCTGGCTCCCACTGTCTGGTCAACATCTTGACATACGTATTTCAGGAGGGACGGCCCCGGACCACTGGATCATCTGGATCACATTCCTTGCAACGCTTCTGCTTTGCAGTGCCCAAGATACCCGAGTACTTCACTGTATGGCACTCCTTCTCACACTCTCCTTCCTCACACCCTCCTTCTCTCACTCTCCTTCTCACACTCTCCTTCTGTGTGCAAATCAAAACAAGCAGCGCATATCGTCTCTCTCATCCCCCCTTGCTCTCCCTTCTGCTCTCCTCTCCCTTCCCCCCTTACTCCCCTCCCCCATCCTCAGGCGGCAAGGCGACAACATGAGCGTAATCGGAAAAGGTGATGGCAGAAAGCTTGCTTGTGATTGGTTAATAAGCAGAAATGGGGTACAAGAGAGGGGAAGAAAACCCCCCTAAAATCCTGAAAAAAACCCCCCACAGCCCCCCAAGGCCCCCCTAAGGCCCCCCTACCCCCCAATTCTCCTCACAGCCCCTCACAGCCCCCCTCGAACCGCCCTGGAAATCCCTGGGCATGGCCCATGCATATCTGCTTCCTGTCATATCACATTCCTGCTTCTGCTTCTACTTTGTGCTTCCTATCTATCATATCCCTCCCGGGCATGGCATGGCATGGCATGGCAACCAGGGAGGGGCGCACAGCACAGAGAGCCAGGAGCTCATCCACCACTCCCTCTTCTGTTCTGACTTCTGCTCCCCACTCCCTCCCTTTTCCCTCACCCCTCCCCCGTTCTCTGCCCGCCTGCATATAGATAACAGCACATACAATTCACATTCGCTAGGTCCATCAAATCTATAAGTCATCTATCACTCTACGCGTCGTAGCAAATAGCCTCGTGTTGTCGACAGGAGAAAATGGCACATGCGCTCCCTCCTTGTGCGTCTGTTTCCTCTCTCTCTTCTTCCCTCATGTCCTGCCCTGCGAGCATGGCTGAACACAAGCAGGTGGCAACACATCTACTCCCCTGTTCCGTTTCTGCCACTCTTTCATATCCCAAACCTGGCCCAAACCAAACTGCACTCCCCCATCCCCTGCACATATAATAACAGGCTCATACATTTATGGTCCTAACGTAATCAGATTCATCAATCCCTACCACTCTACAACATTGCAAGCCAAGTGTCTTCGTCTTGGCGACAGGAGGGGAAGCTGGCACCTGCGCAAGGGGAGGGGGGGAGTTGGTGTGGGGGAGAGGGAAGCGGAGCAAGTGAGCGGGGGGAGCAGGGCAAGTGAGGGGATGGCAGGAGGTGTGAGGGCATGGTGGATGGCAGGTGTGAGGGATATGGCAAGTGTTGCAGTGCATGCTCTGGGGCGACTCACAACGCACCTGGGGTGGTTTGGTGGGCCATGCAGCATGGCATGGCGCTGCGCTCCCTCCTCCTGCTTCTGTTTCTCTCCCTTGTTCTCTCTCATGTCCCGCGCATGGATGATGAGGGACGGCCACACAAGCAGCTGGCAACGCATCTGCTCCCTGTGCAAAGTATCTTCATCTTGGCGACAGGAGAAACTGGCACCTGCGCAAGGGCAGGGGAGGAGTTGGGGTGGGGGAGCAGAGCAAGTGAGCGGAGGGGAGAGAGGAGGGGATTGGTCCAAATGACTCAAAACAAAGAGGAGAGAGGAGGGGATAGGTGAAATGACTCAAAACAACGAGAGGGGAGGGGATTGGTCAAATGACCTCAAACAAATAGGAGAGAGGGGGGATTGGTCAAATGACTCAAAACAAAGAGGAGAGAGGAGGGGATTGGTCAAATGGCTCAAAACAGAGGGGAGAGAAGAGGGGATTGGTCGAATGACTCAAACCAGAGGGGAGAGAGGAGGGGACTGGTCAAATGATTCAAAACAGAGGGGAGGGAGAGAGGAGGGGATTGGTCAAATGGCTCAAAACAAAGAGGAGAGAGGAGGGATTGGTCAAATGACTCAAAACAAGGGGAGAGAGGAGGGGATTGGTGAAATGACTCAAAACAA